ACCAACCTGAAGCCCTTCCCCTAGGTCAGATCCAATAGCATCATTATCACCTCATCCAGCTCTAGCTCTTCTCTTTTCAGGCACACTGAGAAAAACCCCCACGTTTCTTTCCCTCTGGCCTCCACAAGGGAAGACCACAAACCTCATTTCTTCTAGAATGTGTCTCCCGAAAAGATGTAGATTAGGAGCGCTACCTCTTTGTGTCCTCTGCGGGGACTTCAGAAAGCAGCCAAGAGGAACATGCCAACTGGCACAAGCAGAAGAGCTGAGGCCTGCACTGAAGAGGAACACTATGTGGCAAGCATGGCCTTGAAGACATGCTGCCGAGATGGCACAGATTTAGAAAAGAAATTAATTTTCGTAAGGGAGGAAAAATAAAATAGAGAAAAGTATCATCAAGAGACTAAGCAAGCAGAACAGGAAGGAAAACAGTAGATAACAAAACTGATTTCTCTGAAGGAGAAAGGGGATTGATCCACAAAACCCCTTTACTACTCTCTTTAAGCTTCTTAAGAGTCAGTTTTTCTGCAATGCATATTAAGAAACAGCCTGATAGCATTTGGAAGTAGCAAAACTACTGCCAATAACTACTTCCTTATTTGTGTATTCCCACCTCTTTGATTTGCCAACTTTTATTTGTACCGGTTGGATCTTACAGCTTCTTCAAAATATATCTAGTACTTATATTATATATCAGAACACACCAGAAATATGTTCTTTAACAAGTGATTGCCTATATGTAGATTCACACTGCAGCAGAGAATTTGCCAACATGTTTGAGGAAGATGGTTTTTTGTCTTAGCAAGACCAGAAGAGGTGTGCTCAGCCTCCTGCTGCATGACAAACAGGAAGAATATTTTCTAATGCTCTGCTCCTCTCAAGCACTCAAGTCAATGGCAGTTGGGCTTCTCCAAGCAGTAACCTTATCTAATCTGTTTCCTACGTTTTCTTTACAACTGAACCTTTGCTTTTTGTCTTTCTTTTTATCCTCATAGTAGTTTGGCTCTTTGACTTTTACTAAGTCCCATCTCAGACACACAGATCTTTTTTTTCCTTTTACATCAGACTTCCACATCTGGTTTAGCTTCCTCAAAGGTATTAAGCCTGATTTGCAAAAGGTATGTACTCTTGTCAAACACAGATAACTTTCTAGGTCTCACTGCTCGACTGGGGAGCTCAGCTTTTGAATGTCGGGGCCCTGGGCCCCCAAAGAAAAGCATCTGCTTACCAGCATATTAGAGACATGAATAGCTAACTCAGCTTCGCCTTCCTCCTGAACACCAAAGATCACCATGTGCCGGTAGTGAGGGACAGTAATACCATGACATTCCTCATGAATAAATGAGGTGGTGTGAAATCAGCTCACCTTGCCAGGAAGAAGGATCCCTGACCCCCCCCATGAAATTACTCAAAATACATCAGATAAGTAGACCACAAGTGGATGGTTTAAGAAGATGCTTCTGGAGAGGGTTTTCAGGATCCTTTCCAGGACTGACTTTTCTTTTTCATATGAGATGGTCCCTTTTACATGTCCTAAACATTTCTCATACATGAGAAATGCTTGATAAAGTACTTGATAAATGCTTTTCTTCCAGCCCTGCTGCTTCTGAGAACGCTCAGAAATATACAGTGAAAGGCACATGGATTACCTTAGCCTAGATGAGATAGTTCTACTTTCTGACTTACTCCCCTCTTTAAATTACAAATGCTAAGAGCTAAGATGGATTCTAGACCTGTTCTTGAGGGATTCCACTTAGTTTCTTCACTCAAACTTCGATCTTTCATACCTCACTGCTTAGATGTTGGATACCTGTTGAAGACAGAGAATTAGCTTGGTCTCCTTGATATCTCCTTAATGGCTCTTAAATGTCTATCTGTTAAGTATAGCTTTGAGGGCGCTCCTGCTGTTTCTGGGTTCCTGTAGTTTCAGTACATTCCTCTCATCAGCAAACAGGCTATGCAGAGTTTCAGGACCCAAAGTTTCACATAGTTTCACAACCCGTAATTCAAATGTCAGCAAAATCAAAATTCGTACAAAAGTAGAAAACTTCACTTCATCAGTGGATGTGAGAGAAACAGCCCTGTGGGCACCCAGGTCAGTGAGGAAGGAGAGGGGGAGGTGTGCCGGAGCAGAGGTTCCTCTGTGGCCCATGGTGGGATGGTGGTCTGACCCCCTGCAGCCCACGGCGATCAGCAGTGGCCCACAGGTTGGCCTGCAGGCTGTGGAGGACTGCAGGCTAGAGCAGGGGACAGACCGAAAGAAGGCCGTGGCTCTAAGGCAGCCCGCATCCGAGCAGCCTGTCGGTGGGAGGGCGGCAGCCCATGGGAGGGACCCGCACTGGGGTGATTCATACGGAGCTGCAGCCCTGTGGGAGAGGACTCACATTGGAGAAGTTCTTGGAGGACTGTCTGCCGTGAGAGGGACCCCGTGCTGGAGCAGGGGAGGGCTGCGAGGACCCCTCTCCCTGAGGATGAAGGAGCAGCAGAAACAACTTGTGACAGACGGACTGTAACCCCCATTCCCTGCCCCCCTGCGGGGGAGGAGGTAGCAGAGCTGAGTCCAAAAAGAAGGGAGGGGTGGGGGAAGGTGTTTTTAAGACCTGGTTGCATTTCTCATTATCCAGTGGTGGTGGTGGTGGTTGTTTAAATTAAATTGATGCTGTTATCCCCAAGTTGAGTCTGTCTTTTGCCCATAACCATGATTGGTGAGTGAGCCCTCCCTGTCCTTTGTCTCAACCCTCGAGCCTTTTGGTTTTGGTTTTCTCCTCCCCATCCCTCAGAGAAGTGGGTAGGGGTGAGCAAGTGTTGGGCGGTGCTTTGCTGCCGGCTGGGTGGCCTTAAACCACGATACTAATCTTCTCAAAACACGTATATTTAGCTTTGATGTAACCTTCTGCGCCTGGATATCTGATGAGTTTTCCTCTTTCCAAATGAGGAGGAAATGGGGCTTTTAAGAGGTCAGCAGCAGAAACATGCATATGGCTGTCTCCACTTAAAGGCTACCTTGGGAACAGCAACTGTATCCGGACCTCTGACAAGAGAACTGTGGCGAGACAATCACACAAGTTCTGGGCACTCCACAGCAGTTCAGCCATCCTTCATGATCTCTCTTGAACGACCGTTTTCATCTAAGACATGCATGACAGGCACCGAGTCCCAGCCACACGTTTTCTGAGCAGTATACCACTGTGGAGGCTACTAGACGCAATGGGGCTCTCTGCCTCTGCTTTCTTGAACTCCAAGACCTTCCTGCAGAAGGAGGAAGCTGCCAAGGGGAGGTGCTGCCGTTAATCCATGGTATGAATGCTTATGTGGTCAAACAATCAAAGGAGAAAGCCAGACTATTTGGCTGTAATTAAAGGTCCATAATGCAATTTCCATATGTCTAGTCATAAACTCAGCTACTAAGAAAAATTCTACCTGACAGCAACTGAGTGCACTGGTCGTGCTTTCCATATTTAAACCACACCAATGACATTGCACAAGAGGGTGGTGGCTTATAAGCATACTTTTACAACATGAGAGTCTCTGGTTTGAGTGCTTGGCCTACACTGAATGTCACATTGCGAATGTGACTATGGATGATATCTCAAAGAGCTTGTAGTTAATGAAAGGTAATTGTCCTTTCTAAATCAACACCAAGCCAAGAAAGGCTCCTGAATGAGGTGTCCCACTTTGTATTGAGCTAAAGTAGTAGTTGGTAGATACTTTTGCATAGTGCATGTCACTTTTCCCCCCCCTCCCTTCAGAGAGAACCGCTTCATTGTTTCTATAATGCCCATTTTTGGTATAAGAATTAGTAAGCAGACAGACGGCACTCCTGGAGTCCTGCAACCTCCTCTAGATTCTGCAGATGGGAAACAGTTTCAAAGCTTTTATACACTGTGCTGTGGTAATACCATTATTCTCCAACTGCAATAATCCCAATCCATTTACATTCAATTCGCACATGAGCCTTGTGTTGAGATTGTACAATTCCAAAATTCCCCATCACACATTATAAACTACCAGCCCCTAATTTCAAAATGACAAAAAGTTTGCTTCACTTTAAGATCTCCCAACTCCACACCACTGTAAGGTTGTAGATTCTGCATACGTTTCCCCAAATTTCACTGCTGAAGAGACTATGCCTCTTGCTTGCAGTATGTGCCGCAACCTGGCCATGATGAACACAGAACTAGGCACACCCTCTAGTCTAGAGTCCTGCTTTCAAACTAGCAAGGAAAGAAGCCATTGGCAGGTATACCTTGAATGATTATGCTTGCACAGAGCTAGCTTCTTATTGAAGGCAGCAGCCTTTCTACTGAAAAATCTCTGTAACGACTGCAGGAATTTCCAAACGGTAGGCCTCACTGCTGTTTAGACAGACAAAACATGTCCAACTGATGCAGGAACTCAACAGAACGCTTAATTTTGGCCTTTTTGGTGTTTTCTCCCCTTTCCCTCCATGCTGTCTTCCAGTTATCTCTTTATGTTTCAGCAACATCCAGGAAGCTATTAATGGACTCAAATCCTGCTGCGCTACATGGTATGTAAAAAAAAGTCTACACCACACAGCTATCTTATTCTTATCACCTTCCTCATCTTAAGGTTTATAGGAAAAGAATAGCCGAATTAAGAGAACGAAGAATAAGGACATCAGCCAGCTCGATCTCACAAATATCTTGTAGTGGTCAGGAAGCCAAGTCCCCCTGATCTTCTCCCCGCCTCCAAATTACTGCTCCCAGACCAAGTTGGCAGAAGTAAACGTGTGCCTACCTTTCAACCACTATAACGCAAGGTTCTCTGCTTTAAGATGCCAGTGAAAGTAGCTTTAAGTTAAGATGTGGGACTGCACAAGTAGTGCAGACGAACAGACATATGCTCCACGCAAATGAATCTGCTTGTTACACTGACACACAGAAGTCTGACAGAGCTCGACTGTCAGGTCCCTAGATTTCCCTCTCTTGAAAGTCTGGAAGAGAGAGGTGTTAAGAATTGGAAAGCAGAGGTAACCTCTATGTTGTCTTGTTCATTGTTAGTTTCTAAGTTTCTTTGCAGATTGAAAGTATAGATAGGAAGAGAGATACAAATGGCAAAACTTGGAAATTCTAAACAATGTTTTAATTTACCTCTCTGATCTGTTTAATCCATGCCTCCCTTCCAAGGAATTCCTGATGGAGGACTGCCGGAGCAGAATTCAAACTGAAGGCCATGGTGTCACTAGAACTTTCTTTAACAAATGGCTGAAGGTCTGAATGTAGCTGAAAGAGAAAAACATCTATCTTCAGTTCCCAGGAACAGTCTATACATATCCACCCACTCACCAAATCAAGGTCCATATCCTGATTCTGTACCTACTCACCACTTTCTGCTTTGACACTTGTACTTTGGTTGCACTTTTCAAGTTTGGGGGAGGGATAGGAAGATGTTGAAAGCATTGCAGTGGCGGAAAGTTGTGGTAAAGAGAAGCATGTAGAGAATCTGCAAAGAAACGGGTAAAGGACAGCTTGCAGAGCTGGAGAAGGGATGGGACACAGCCAGGCAGGTGACTATTGAGTGGCAGGAAGCAGAAAAAAATATAACGGAAAGAATGATCCAGTCTGTGGTGGGAAGAATATCAGTTTTTAATCAATGAAGGGTAATACATTCTACTTTTCAGTACCCAAAGAAGCTGATGCAATATGACCCTCCTTCTGACAAAGGAAACACTACATGGTTAGGAGCTTTCTATGAAAATTATGCAATCCTTTACACACAACTATATGTCAACGTAGTGAATGTATTAATATCAAAGCATACACAAAATATTAAGGCCATAGTCTGCACTAGAAGCAATTTACTGGTAGAGTTGTACCTAGTAATAGTGTATAGTGGCATTCCCACGTCAGTAAAGCTTTATAAAACCACTTCCTTCTCCTGGAGGAACTGGAAGCTGTCTAAACCAACTCAGCTGAAGTGGGCGAGAGGTCTGTCTGCCTGTCTCAAGCTACACCTATACTTGCAAGTAGTGCAAGAGCAGATCTTTAGGGCAAAACGAGTGCCAAGGATCAGCGTTCCACACTATGTGTGTTTTCCTTTGGACCAACCCTAGACTTCTAATGGAGGTCAGAGGACTTCTCTGGGAAATCTTGCTGCTGCAGAGGTATAGGTTGCTCCTGTCCATATCTGGTGACCTCCCTCCTTACCCTCCAGCTACCCGCTCTGGAAGTTACCCCCACAGCAGATTATTCAGAAGGGAACATATGCAGGTCCTTCAGCTACTGCAGGTCATGCCTGAGCTTGTGTGCTGCTGCAGGCAGTTGAGCCTCTCGGTACAAATCTCTACTTGGTGGCAGCTGAGACCCAACACATGCTTCCTCCTGCAACTCCTGCTACTGGGACAGGGGCTTTAGGAAGAATGTAGGAGTAGAGAAGGTAAAGTTTTAAGCTGCTAAAGAAGAAAGATGCGCTAGAGGGACATTAACAGGACGTTGGATGAAATAAGCTATGATGCCAGGAGTGTGATTTTGCCAGTTGATAAGCACTGTTCATACCAGCAGTTTCCGCAAACATCTTCACACCAGGCAGCAGTCAAATCTCTCAACATCACTGACCTGCTGGCAAAAGTCTACAGCGTAGTGGCAGTACATAACAGAGCTCAAGAGCAACACATCTTACAAGACACTCTGTATTTAAGATCCCAGAACGAAAGGAAAAGGCGTACCTTATGACTCATAGACATGTGCTTTCCATACTGAAATGCCATGTCCTGAATCTCAGCGCTGTGCTTTGCTAGCTCCATTGCAGCCTGGCAGCTTTTTGCCAGCAAGGCACTATGTGACAGGAAAACCTGTTCCTTCCACGTAGATATGCTGATATCATCTGTAAGACAGTTCTCCTGAAAGTGAAACAAAGGCTAACATGAAAACACCAAAACTGCAGCTGTGTTAGCTCACAGAAGTTAATGGTGTGGCACAGGATGACGTGAAACATGGTGAGTATCACAACTCTGGGTGCCACAGTGCCAAATAAAGAGGGACATTCTTTTGGGTAGGAGTAGAGAAAAATACCAGAATAAATATACCGGCAGCTTCAACAAACAACATTTTTATTTGCCGCTCAAAAAGAACAATGCAAAATATGTGGAGCTGTCAACAGATTCAACACAGATCCTTTTCTTAATGACTGTATCAGTACACCAAACATTAGCAGC